GCTTTATTGTCCAGTCTACAATTCTCCATCACTTAAGTAGTGCATTTAATCCATTAAAGTTCAGTGTAATTATCAATAAGTATGAATTGGGTGCTATCACTTTGTTATGTGTTTTTTCATGGTGTCCCTAGTTTCCTTGTTCCATATTATTGTCTGTGCTGAGCTCATTATGTTTATGAAATGTGTTTTCATTTCCTTTGTTGTTGTTGTTTTAGTATTTGCTGAATATTTTTGCTTGTCCTCCTTTTTATTGTGATGTGAAGGTTTATCATTTTTCTTTGAGGTTACCCTATGATTTATAATTTTCTCCCTGAGTTTAGAACAGCCCATTCTATCTTGCAACTCTCTTGACTTCCTCACTATTTAAAAGTTCTGTATCTACACAGTATTTTCCCTCTTTTTGGTTTGTAGTTGTCCTCATTTGCCAAATGAAGTCTCTGGTTCCCTGTTTAGAACCTTGTAAGCTTGTAATCTTGTAAGCTTTGGATATATCCACAGCTGAGGTTTCTGGGTTATGTCATCTTGTGTATTAATGATTGGTTGTAGTTTGTTATTTTTGGTTCTCTGTTCAAAGGACTCCCTTTAGTATCTCTTCTAAGGTTGGTCTGGTTTTAACAATTTCCCTAAGTTTCTGCTTATCTGGAAATCTCCTAATTTCACCATTATATTTGAGGGACAATTTTGAAAATTGTAACCAGGAACAGGAAAAGTAAAAAAGCTGAAAACTAGAATCTGGAAAGGGAGGAATAAAGAATAATAATAAAAAGGACAAAAGTAATAATAATTGTTTTAAAACAGACAAAAATAAATAAACTAAAAAGAAGGAAAACAGAAAAATAAAAAAATAATTGGGGCAGGGCACCCAGGCTTCGTCCAATCACACAGACTGGGATGGAATTCCTGTCGGCCTAGAAGGTGGGTGGGAGTGAAGGATGGCCGCACCTCCATTCACCAAGAGGGTGTGGGATATAAGAGCAACAATGGGAATGTGGCACCTTTCTAGTCATCCACGTCCAGAATGTCAGTTTGGTTCCCAACATGTGGAGACTGTTCTCAAGTCCCTGGGATCTGGGAGAATGGTGGTGCCTTAAATATCCAAAATGGTCAAACCACTTGTAAACATTCAAAATGGCTGCACCCTCTGGACAGGCAAAAATCCACAGCTCAGTCCACCTTCCTATTTTCTGCTTCCCCTTTTATTCACCAGCCACCAGAGCAGTCCTCAATGCAGTCCCTGGTTAGCAGGGCTGATTTTTAGGTTAATTCTTAGGTCCTACCACCACTTGGCAATATCCAAGCTGTCTGTGCCATCAGGATTGCTGCTAGACTACTGCTCCATATGTCTCCTTTTTTGATGTTTGCATGCAAATTCTTCTGCTAGTTGGAGTTTAGTCCACTCCTATATCCTTACCTTCAAAGCTCAGGGGTCCAGGATTATCTTTTGGATCTGTGTTAATTGGTTCCCCTTTTCTTTGTTGAAGAGGGTCTGTTCAGTCTTTCTGCCTAATCTGCCATCTTACTGGAACTTAGGATCTCCAGTTTTGATCTCTTTCTGAGTGGTTGTCATTGGTAGCTAGGCAACATCTAGTTCTTCTGCTGGTAGGCTCATAAAGGCTGAGGTCCTTGTGGTCCATCTTATCTTTGGACTAATTGTTTCCAAATGCTTTTGATTTTCTCCACTCTTCTTTGCTTCAAGTGAGAGGAGACCAATAGTCGCATATTAGATGGCCCCATGGAAGCTTCTAAGACCCCAGTCACTACTCACCAAAGTAGGTTGTAGAACAAGATTTTTATGTGCTATGTTGTGCTTATGGAGCTTGATGTCTCCCAACACTGTGGTCCCAACTTGCAGGCCTGGTGATTCTGTCCTTCAGGGTGTTTGTGTAAGTGTTCTACCTTAATTTTTCTTTGTCCTCACCAACATTTGATATTTTCTTTCTTCTTCCCTTTCTCTCTTCCTCCCTCCCCCCCCCTCTTTCTTTCTTCCTTTCTCTCTTTTATCTTACCTGTCTTAGTGGGAGTGAAATGGTATCTAATTGTGGTGACCACCATTTCTTGAAGAGAACCTTATCAATTAATCAGTCAATGTGGATGAACATCCAAAATTTGTTTCTGTTTCTGGTGGTGGTTTGGCTTCTCCTGGTGACAGTTGGCCACAGTGGGTTAAATATGATTGAGGGGAATCCTAAATCCTTTGGTTGGCTGGGAATTTCCAGAATTAATTCAGAAATTCTAAGAATATCCTGATCGGTGGGTGTTTTGGCCAAATATGAGGCACTTTAGCCAGGAGAATACTGAATGCATGGGACTCACTCTACATTTCTGACACACAGTATGCCATATCTACCTTCTCTCTCCCTTGCAGTCCATGGGCCTCCTCTTCTCCAGAAGATAAGAATTTCAGTCCATGTGCATTTGAAAATCAGGTCTGGGTGGAGGAAGATAACCAATTGCAGTAGACCTGAATTCTCATCATGGCTGAGTTTTACTCTACTTGGTGTTTGATTTATTTAGGGGAATAACCAGAAACTAGAATTTTCAGTATCATTCTAGGTGTCAGGAAGGAATTGCTGAAGTGCTGTAAAGATATTTTTGGAAGGGGAAATGAATTGTGGCTTTTAATTTTTATGTATATAAATTATAGTAGGATATCTTCATTGTCTCTCTTATATACTTCAGGTAAGTTTTTCTATCAAGCTTAAGTGTTCTGTGAACTACAGATAAATGAAAAAAAATCTCATTGTACCTCTACTAGCTATGAGACAGATTACATAAACACTTTATGCTACAATTTCGTCCTCTTATAAATGGGAATAATATTATCTATTTCATATTGTTATTGTTAATGAAATAAAATGTGTTTACAATGTGTGCTTGGCTGAGTAGCCTGCACATGTCAAAGGCTCAGAATATGCTAGATGTTAATGCGATAATTTGTTATTATTCCTTATAATATATGTCTTATATTTAACTTCATGTTTTTATCTTCTCATGTATATAATTGTTGCTGTTGTTAGGTATCATAGACTTGGTTGTAATTCATAGTGACCTTATGTGCACAAAAAAAATAATGTTACCAGGTGCAGCACCAGCCTCAAAATTGTATCTATGTTTGAGCCCATTGTTGCAGCCAGTGTGTCAATCCATCCCATTGAAGATCCTTTTCTTTTTCACTGACCCTCCACTTTATCTGGAAAGGGACATCATGCTTGGTAAACAAAAAGGTCAGCAGAAAAGATCCTCAATGAATTGGATTGACACAGTGGCTGCAAAAATGGACTCAAAATACCTACTATTGTGAGAATGGCACAGGACTGAACATGTTACATTCTGTTATATATAATGCTGTTATTAGTTGGAACTGACAGGATGTACATATGTCCTTTGATTTTTTTTGTTTGCTGCTTTCATGGGTATTGACTGTGGATCCAAGTAAGATGAAATCTTTCACAATTTCAATCTTTTCTCTGTTTATTACACTGTTGCTTATTGGTCTGGTTGTGAAGATTTTTGTTTTCTTTATGTTGAGGTACTATCCATGCTGAAAGATGTAGTATTTCATTTTCATCAGTAAGTGTCTCAAGTCCTCTTCACTTTTGGCAAGCAAGACTGTGTTATTTGCATATTGCTGGTTGTTAAAATGTCTTTCTCTAATCCTGACACAGTGTTCTTCATACAGTCAAACTTCTAGAATTATCTGCTCGCCATTGAATAACGATGGTGAAAGGATCTAACCGTGACAAGATATTTTCCAATTTTAAACCTTACTGTATTCTCTTGTCCTCTTTGAGCAACTTCCATTCATTTTCCCACCACCAAGCGTTCTACAAAGGTCACTGAAAACCTAAGGACAAGACATCTAACAAGTGTAGTTCATCCTTAAGAAAAAAGAAAATAGAAGTGATAATAGAAAACACAAACAATCATAGATTTTTGTTGTTGTTATGTGTTGTCGAGTCAGACCTGACTCATAGCGACCCCTCCTTGGGTTGCCGAGGCAGTGTCACTACGGAAGTAGATTGCCCAACTTTCCTTCCGAGGAGTTAGTAACCTTTAATTATGGATCTAGATCATTAGGCATGCATATAACTAAAGATGACTAAGCTACAATTAAGGACTTTTGGTGGTGCAGAGGCTAAGACATTTGACTGCTAACCAGAAGGTTGGGGGTTCAAACCAACCAGCCACTCTGAGGAAAGAAGATGGGCAATCTACTTCCCTAAAGGTTTATCACCTCAGAAACCCAATGGGGGTTGGTATGAATTGCAATTGACTCAATGGCAGTGGGTTTGGATTTTTTTTTTTTTTTGGAAGCTATGATTTTTTTTTTTTTGTCATCTCCTCCACATTTTTTTTTTTTTTCCTTAATGAAAAGTATATTTGTTAGATTTCTTGCCCTTAGATTTTCAGTGACTTCTTAATAGAAATGCTTGGTGCTTGGAAAATATTCATTCATCTATACGTTTCCTAAGTAGGGACTTTTGTGCATAGCTTACAAAGTCAGAAGAATGAGGTATGAAGTCTGCCTGTCTTCAAGAAGTTTATAGTTTACCACTGGGAAGCAATTTTTTTTAAGCCTCTTTTGTAATTGGTACTTAAAAACAATTAAATGAGTGTAAAGAGAAGGGTGTTATTCATTGACTAGAAAAATTTTCCTAAATTACATAAACTTGATATAACATAAAACACATTTCATTTTTGCAGGACTGTTATATTTCATTTAATCAAATTTTATACTTTGAATGTAGCTGATATTTTCTATTTTTTAGACTTAAAATCAACAGAATGACATGTATGACTATTCTACTAATGATGAAACTATTCTGAGATACTGAAGAGGCCTATGTTATTTAAATGCCATATTATGCCAGAATAATGTATTCCTGATACATTGAACAAAGTACTTTTAAATCTTGGTGATGAAGTAAAACTTCATTTAAATTTTTGTACAATATGTAATGCCATAAAATATTACTGCTTTGTTATGTTTCTTTCCTCAGAAGATCTACTGACTATAAAGAACAAAGTGAGCCCACACCACCTGATGACTCTCATAATATAGCTGTTCACATTAGGAAAATGCATGGCTGCTCTTCTTTATATGGACCAAAAGGATTTGAAGACAGACTTGAAGAATTCATAATGATCTTGAAGAAATTGTAAGTATTTTTAATATATCACTTTTCATAGTTGAAGAATACTTTTGAATAGTTTTCAAACAGTTAGTTGTTTGCTAATAAGTATAAGAGGTAATGTAGCTCTAGTGGTCTATTCAGATGAGCTGATAATGTTGGATATTTGTTTCTAGATGAATACAGTATTCAGAAATGTAATTTTCATGGCATATCATGAATACATTGTTAAATGTGCAGCCCATCATTTTAATTTTAAGTGTCAGTCAGAATTTGTGTTATTTACTGCTAATGTTTAATTAAAATTATGTTTAAGATGTTCATTAGCATATAGCTACAGGTCAGTTCTTCACAGAATTTAAAGTTATATCTTCCTCCTCACTGAGTCTTTAGATAAACTTGCCTCATATTTTCCTTTACTTTGCTGAAGTGATTTAGGCCGTGATTGGGGAAGAATTACCAAAAGGAGAAGGAGGAGAGAGTTTTATCTGGATGAAGTCTAATTACTAGAGATGGTGTTGGGTTTGTGGATAAAATTAAAGCAGAAAGAGGACCATGGGAAAATGAGATATTGGAATTGATACTGACAATAGATACAAAACCAAGAATAAAACAGTCTCAGGGTTGGAACTCTGCCTAGAAAAAAGACCAGAAACTTGGAATGAGTAATTAAAAGTCTGAAATTTATGTTTTGAGGAATACACTGAGAATTCTATAGTGTAAGGACTTCTTTCAAAATTCAATTTCAAATTTAAAAAAATATAATTAGAACTTCCAGAAAATTTGAGAATAGTCATACTTTGATGCTTTTACTTATAATAACAAAAAATAACCCTAGCAAATACTAGTCACTTTACAAGAAAGTGAGTGTGAGGAAGTTGTAGAGAAAGAAATCATAACCACTTACTATATAAAAATATATTTAAACTGGTAGACTGTAAAACAGGAAATTCAACTAGAATGTGTTCAGTGAATGTATTAAAAGTATAGCTGGTACTAACTTGCTAAAGTACTAAAAGTTAGTATAGCTACAGGATGACACAGCCAGTTTTCATTCCATCAGAGGATAATATTGATTATTTGATATTTGATTCAAAAATTTTAGTCCCCAGAAACTCATGATTTATTCACTAGTACTAAAAAAACTCACTGCCATCGAGTCAGATCCAACTCATAGTGACCCCTCCTTGGGTTTCGGGGGTGGTATCACTATGGAAGTAGATTGCCCAATCTTCCTTCTGAGGAGTGGCTAGTGGGTTTGAACCACCAGCCTTCTGGTTAGCAGTCAAGTGCCTTAGGCACTACACCACCAGAGGCGGAATTCACTAGTATTGAGCTGCAGAATTTTTAACAGTGGCAGTAATCTCTGTTTCTCTAAGTATAAAGAGGTAGTAGTGTTCAGGTGACAAAAGTTCTGGTCTAAGGCACAGGAGGAGCTTGGCAAGAGGGACTCTCAAGCAGCTACGACTCTCCAGGCAATGTGCAAAAATGCTGGGAGGTACATGTAGGTTCATGCTAGGATGGAAACTGCAAGTGAGCGAAGAGCCTTGTACCATTTTAGCAGGAACTGTAGTAGAAGGGCACCTACTTAAATACAGCAGAAAACAGGTAGTGAAGCTACTGCTGCATCCTCATTTGGTCTCTCATGGGATTCACTCAGCCCCCAGTCTCCAAATACCTTGAATCTAGACAACAAATATTGACACAATGGCAGTTTGGGGGTGGGTAGAGAAGCTCCTGAATACTGCAAGCCGTAATTTTCATTGGCTCACATTTAGGCAGACTTTTCATACGTCAGGTCTTCTCCGGTGCCAGTGAGTGGGGTTGAAACTGCCACAGACTGACAATAGCAGTGTAAATGAGATGGGATCTCACTTTTTTGGGATGTTGAAAGTCACACAAAGCCTTAAATTCTGTACATAAAACTTCTGCTTTAATCCTGACATAAATGCCTTGAGGTAAATATGATAATCTAGTAAGTAAAAGAGTAAAAGTATGTTGTAAATCTATACTCTATTAACATATTTTTATCTTCCTGTTTACTTAGAACACATTGTATTAGTTTTCTATTATTGCACAATAAATTACCACAGATGTAGTGGCTTAAAATAACATACATTTATTATCTCTCTGAGCAAGAATTAGCAGGGTCTTTTGCTCAGTGTCTCATAAAACTTGAAACAGCATGTCAATTGGGTTGCATTTTATTCTGGAGCTTGAGTTTTTTTTTTTTTTTTTTTTTTTTATAAGCACATATGGTTGTTTGCTGGCAGAAGTCAGTTCCTTATAGTTGTAGGACTAAGGTCTTTACCTTCTTCCTGGCTGTCAGAGGTGGGGCGTTCTGAGTCCTACAGTTCCTTGCCACATGGCCCTCTCACTGCCCTCCACAACGTGGCAGTTTACATCTTCAATGCCTGGGAGGGAGAGTCTCTCAGCCAATCAGCTGAAATGAAGCCTTTTTTTTTTTTTTTTCAAACCCTCCATGAGACACATTAAGCTCAAACCTACCAAAGATTGTGAAGATGACAAAGGACCCAAAGTTTCCTATCATACATAAGGTCATCATGAATCAGAGCCAATTAGACAGCAACTAATTGTTACAGCAATTTCCCAGGTGGTATCACTATGGAAGTAGATTGCCTAATCTTCCTTCCCAGGAGTGGCTGGTGGGTTGGAACTGCCAGCTTTCTGGTTAGTAGTCAAATGCCTTAGACACTATGGCACCAGAGCTCCTTTCTTAATTATACCTCCTTCAACTGAAATGAGTTTTTCTCCCCCAGCATACCAGTTTCCTGTTATTCTTCTAAACTTCCAATATACTTCCAATATACATCATTGCTCTGCCTTGTGGCTGGATACCGTGATACTGCAGCATTTTTCCTCTACCAGCTGGCACAATGTTTAACTTTGTCAGAAGAGGGTGCTGGAAGGACATCAGAAGAGGAAGGGGCTTCTCTTCCTGCTTCTGATTTCTCTATGTGTTTATTATGCATCTGTTATGTTCCAAGTCTTGTAATTATAAGATCATACACCCTTAAATTCTTAACCTAGTAGGGGAGGTATTTCCCTGCCCCCCAAATGCACATGCTAAATAATTGCCCCATTAGCTACAATGGAAGTCTCTATGGGGTGCAATGGAGACCCAAAGAGAATGATAGTTATATCAGGTGTTCAGTCATAAATGTTTTTGAATGGCAGTATTGTGTTTATTTACATTTTAGAGGTATAAGATGAAGTCATGGCACCTAATCAAAAACCTGTCTATCTCACTCTCCTAATACTTTCACCATATTCTGTCAGCTAGAAGAAAATCATAGGTCTCTCCCCTCCTCAAATTCAAGGAGAGGGGAATATACAAATGTATGACTCCTTGGGAGTCACCTTAGAGTGTGTTAGCCATATGGATAACATTATCAGTCTTGTGTGACTCATTTAATATATTTACAATGAGGTTGTATGCTCTATGTACAGAACACAGAAGTAAGTTAAAGGTTTATTAATAGATAGGAGTTCCTGGGTGGTTCAAATGGTTAGGTCCTTGGCTACTAACCCAAAAATTGGCAGTTCAAATTCACCCAGAGAAGCCTTGGAAGAAATGCCTGGTGATCTGCTTCTGAATGAAAACCCTAGAGAGCACAGTTCTACTCTGAAAATATACGAGGTCACCACGAGATGAACTGACTTGGTAGCAACTGGTTTGGTTTTACTAAATAGATGGGTGGGGTTCTTAATGATGTAATTTAACAAGTTTTAAAAAGTAGCTACTACACTGTCTAAAATTCTTCTCCCTGTCAATAGAACACGGTAACATTCTATTACCTTGATCTGAGTAGTTGTTACATGTATGTGTTTACTTTATAATAATCCATCAGGATTTTATACTTAACTTTGTGTATATTTAAAAAACTAAACCAAACTCCATTCCCTCTGAGACTATTCTGACTCATGCCATTTTCATGTGTTACGCAGTGGAGTTGCTCCATCCAGTTCCCGTGGCTGTGATCTATGGAAGGGGATCATCAGGCCTTTCTTTCTGGGTGCCACTGGGTGGGTTTGAACAATCGATCTTTCTTTGACTGCAAATCATGGGGACCTTTATATAGATTACACCTCAAAAAAAAGTTTACCAAAAGAAGAAAAAATACAACTAAATCACTATAAAGATGTCTTTTTACCTCTTAATCAACTTAGCAGTTTAATATTCTCCATTTCCTTTAGCATGATACCTCTGCTTGAACACTGGCATCTAACAGACAATTTTCTTGCACACTAGGGTTTTCTGCCCCCACTATACCAAACTTACTATGGTATGAATTTTTTTTACCTGTCCCAGAGATGAATGTTGAGGGGGCAGTGCACTTTGACTCGACTGACAGTTTTACTGAGTTTATATGCAATGGTAAAAAAGTAATATTTCAAAAGAGAATATTTCTTACGAAAAGGAAAATGGATTATGGGTAAACAACATTGTTGTTGTTAGGTGCTGTTGAATTGGCTCTGACTCATAGCAACCCGATGTAAACAGAATGAAAAACTACCCATCTTAGCACCATCCTCACAATCTTTGGTATGCTTGACCCCATTGTTGCAGCCATGTGTCAATCCATCTCGTTGAGTGCCTTCCCTTTATCACTGACCTATTTACCAAGCATGATGTCTTTCTCCAGGAATTGGTCCCTCCTGACAACATGAACAGGTGAGACAAAGTGTGGCCATTCTTGTTTCTAAGGAGCATTCTGGCTGTATTTTTTTCCAAACAGATTTGTTCATTCTTCTGGAAATCCATGGTATTTTCAGTATTCTTTGCCAACACCGAAATATAAATGCATCAATTCTTCTGCAGTCTTCCTTATTTGTTGTCCAACTTTTACTGCATATGAGGAGATTGAAAATATCATGCCTTGGGTCTGACGCACCTTGTTCTTCAAAGTGACATCTTTGCTCTTTAACACTTTAAAGAGGTCTTCTGCAGTAGATTTGACCAATGAAATACATTGCTTGATTTCTTGATTGCTGCTTCCATGGGC